GATCATTTTCCACAAATTAATTGAAATAAAAACTCCATAGGGAAATCATTATGGCTTTAGAATATATTAAAAGTAATTATTTCCTTCATTTCATATTAGTTGTCATGTTTTACTTTTCAAGAGTTAATTTGACTAATTTTCGAAGTATTATATGATAGAATATTTCATATTCCAACACTATACATAAGTACTATAAGTTACAAATTTTATAGTATCAATATGATAAAAAAAATATATATCTTAAAAAAAGCATAATTGTTTTTTTATCTATTGGATTCTGGATTTACAAAAATACAACGTTTGAGCCAAAGCTATTGAAAGTTCCATCGAACCCATCGCTTTAAGGCTAGCTCCGCCCCGAAGTGAATACAAGTGACACTATGAATTGGTTCCCTCTTTAATATGTTGTTCATATCAGCTTGCATGTAACTTTGAGTTAAATGGATCGATGAAAAGAAGTCACCTAGCGTTATTTTAAATTGGTGTCCTCTCTCCTTAGGCAATGCATTATTAATTGTTGCATTTTAAGAATCATTTGGTACCTTATTTATGTGATAAAAGCATATAGTAAAATTCAATATAATAACTCTAATTTCTTCTGTATTTTACCTTTTGATCATGAGTAGGAGGTTTTGGAAGCTATCTTTTTGGCATGAGTGAAGTTATTGCTAAGCAATCAACAGAAGCAAATGCTGCAGATAATGTCAAGAACCCTTCTTTAGGATGGATGATTACTTTCCTCTTGGTTGTTAGCTTTCTTGGGCTTTTCTCTGTTGTCCCTCTTCGTAAGGTAAATTCGACATTTCTAATGCATATGTATCACATATTTTCAAGCGTGACGATATACACTTGTATATAATAGGAAATTAATGAGTCAGTTGTCATGTGAACGAAATTTTGATAGGCAAGTTAAGTTGTTAGGCATATTCTAACATAAGGTCTTCTAGTCAGCTTTGAGGTGCGTTTTGATAAACAATTTGTCAACATTAGTAACCGCGATATATTGATGCTATCATACGAGTTGCATTGTTTGACATAATGTGAATATATTCTCAGATTATGATTATCGACTTCAAGCTGATTTATCCGAGTGGTACTGCAACTGCTCACCTGATCAACAGTTTCCATACTCCACAAGGAGCTAAGCTAGCCAAGTGAGTCTTTTACACCATCAACGATTGCTTCTTATCGATGATAGTACTAATTGCTCGTCGTTGCAGGAAGCAAGTAAAAACTTTGGGAAAGTTTTTCACCTTCAGCTTCTTATGGGGATTCTTCCAGTGGTTTTTTACAGGAGGGGATGGCTGTGGATTCGGGAGCTTTCCCACTTTAGGTCTCAAAGCCTACGAGAACAGGTAAACGTTTGAATTTCCATTAATATCAACTTGTTTGTTTGGACTTATTATGCTATTGATACATTTCGCAATGTGTTTTCAATAACTTACACAATGTAGCTTGCCTAATTAGTTGGACTCGAATAAACGTTGAACTTCTACATCTACTGCAATATGCTCTTATGTTTTTGTATGTATATTGGGAAACAAGGTTATTTGTTTAGCTATGTTGCTCTGGCTCTCCAAGAACGTTGTCACACCCGTGTCAGTTCCTCCAAAAATGCACTACTTTTGGAGTATTTGGTACGCGCCTGGTGACATTTTTGAAGAGCCCGAGCAATATAGATTTTTCTATACTCAATTCTGTAACTTGGAAGCACTACTTTTCAATGTTTTCGACTTATTTTTTCTGATCAACCAGGTTTTATTTTGACTTCTCCGCGACATATGTTGGTGTTGGGATGATATGTCCATATCTAGTCAACGTATCGTTACTAGTTGGAGCAATCCTTTCGTGGGGTATAATGTGGCCTCTTATTGAAGACAGAAAAGGTCATTGGTACCCTGCTGATCAAAGTCCTACCAGCCTTCACGGCATACAAGGTTACAGGGTACGTACTCAATATGACACACGATGTTTTTAAATTAGCTCGATCAGATAAAAACTGAAAAATGAGGCTAATGGATTTTTCCGTGCTGCTCTTGTAATGCAGGTGTTTATAGCAATAGCTATGATCCTTGGTGATGGTCTTTACAACTTCATCAAAGTACTGGGACGAACATTGTATGGTATATATTGCCAATTCCGCGAGAAAAAAGCAGGTTTAGTCCTTCCTGTTGGTGCCCCGCGTGCATCCCCTGCAGAGGCATCTCTGTCTTATGATGATCAGATACGAACCGAGCTTTTCCTCAAGGATCAAATCCCTACGTGGGTTGCTATAGTCGGTTATGTTAGCATTGCCATCATCTCCATGATAACGCTTCCACACATTTTCCATCAACTTAAGTGGTACTACATTGTGGTGATATACATTTTTACACCAGCACTAGCCTTCTGCAATGCTTATGGAACTGGTCTGACTGACTGGTCATTAGCATCAACGTACGGGAAGCTGGCTATCTTCACCATCGGTGCATGGGCTGGGGCTAGTCATGGTGGTGTTCTAGCAGGATTAGCTGCTTGTGGTGTCATGATGAACGTAGTCACAACTGCATCCGACTTAACACAAGACTTCAAGACAGGTTACATGACGCTGGCTTCTCCTAGGTCGATGTTCATAAGCCAGATGATCGGAACAGCAATGGGGTGTGTGATTTCCCCTTGTGTATTTTGGCTATTCTACAAGGCGTTCCACGACTTAGGTATTCCAGGTTCAGAGTACCCTGCTCCTTACGCTCTAGTCTATCGTAACATGTCTATATTGGGAGTGGAAGGCTTCTCAGCTCTACCAAAGAATTGTCTCACATTATGCTACATATTCTTCATTGGAGCTATTGCAATCAACGCGTTAAGAGATGCTCTAGGAAAGAACAAGGCAAAGTACATTCCTCTTCCGATGGCAATGGCTATACCTTTCTATCTAGGATCATACTTCGCCATTGATATGTGTATCGGGAGCCTGATTTTGTTCATCTGGACAAAGATAAACAAGGCTAAGGCCGATGCATTTGGACCAGCTGTCGCGTCTGGACTAATATGTGGAGATGGAATTTGGACCTTGCCTAGTTCAATCTTAGCTTTATCAGGTGTTAATCCACCAATTTGCATGAAGTTTCTATCAAGGAAGGACAATATCAGAGTAGATAAGTTCATGCATCCTAAAGCTCGGTAACGTGTAGGTTCTATCGCGTTCTTATTGTTCTGTTTTTCCTCCGTATGTTCGATGTTTATATTGCTATGAACTTGCTATAAAGATGATAGAAGTAAAATTTACGTAGACAACATATTGAGCTTCATGTGTTAAAGTTGTAAATGTACACTACATAAGTTTACTGTACACTGTCATTGTTCACAGCTTTATATTTTGGTTAGATAATATGTATTTTGTAACCAAGTTTAAACTAAATATTTATGTAAAATTAATTGTCCGATAAAATAAAAATTCAACATTATTTATATATGCTCTATCAAACGAAAACTAATAAAATTTAGTCAGTTAGAAAAAAGAGGTCGGCATGGAAACAAAAGTTGCACATAGTACAATAATAGCTTTTTTAATACGTCATTATAACAAAGTTCACTCTTCTAAGTTTTATAGCAAATGAGAAAACAAAAGTTAATTGAAAATATTTGAATTTTCTTTAATTCCCAACTAAGGAAACGAAACGATCCCCACAAAAAATCATTATCAGAGTATGTATTTATTTTCTACATTTCCCTATACAGGATTTCACTTTTTTCCACACTATTTTTTTTTTTAATATATTGCACTAAAAGTATATTAGTCTTGGTATAAATAATTTTTACGTTATCGGATCAAGTAAAGCTACCTATTCTTTTAACTATATAGTCTTACCAAGTAAATAAATCTAGATACACAGTAATTTTATATATCATTTTTTTTTTGAAAAATTATATATAATAGAAAACTAATAACCTAAAATAAATGAAATAGCTAAGTTTGATTTAATTGTGCTTCATAGCAAGCGTTAGCTAAAGTTTTCCAGACGTCTCTCTCCCAAAAATCTCGCTCGCCACTCTTCATTCTCGCTCGCCTCTCTCGCTTTATACACAGAAGTGTATAAATTATGTTTCTGTGTTGTATAAAGCGAGAGAAAATTGTATATACACATGCAAAAATATATATCTTCGTGTTATACATATAATTATACAATTTACAAACATTTTACTTTAGATATTGCAGAGAAAAAGGCCAACGAATTATACAATTGCAGTGAAATACAATTTTCTCTTGCTTTATACAACAGAAGTGTATATATTGTGTTTCTTTATTTGTATAAAGCGAGAGAAAAACATATATCTTCTTGCTACACACTTATAATTATGCAACATACATACATTTTAATTCGATTCAATTGAATGCAAAGCAAATTTTTTAAAAATATTGCAGCGAAATAGGCAGCGAATTATACAATTGTGCATTATACAATCGGAGTGAAATAGTATAGCGAATTATACAATTGCAGCGAAATAAGTCAGCGAATTATACAATTTAGGCCAACGAATTATACAATTGTATATGAATATAGAATTATACAGTTTTATGTTTACTATGGAGCGCAATTATGCAAAGTTTGCTATAACATACAAATATGATTTTTTCGATTGCTATATGTGAAAATTGCCTCTCTTTTTTTTTCCATGTGTATATGTTAAATCTTGAATATTTTTAGTGAAACTTTTTATTTCACTATTGATTATATTTATTGCTCTTTAGAGGGTATGATATATTATTACTGAACAAATAAAAATGAACGGAGTACGAATTACTATTCACCCTTTTATATATAATTTAAGACTTCGATTCTAAGTCTTCCTTGTAACTTCTCATCATCTTCCTCTTTCTTCCTTTTAGCCTTTGGAATCTTTGTCACTTTTGGTACAGTATATAAAAACACTAATATTGACATCAACATGTAATATTATTAATATAAATATATAACTTTCTTTTTAAGTTTTAGCAAACAAAAGAAAACGAAAAAAAAACTATATATTATAAGTTTTCCTTGTAACTTCTCTGTTTTTTTCATCTATTTTATTTGTTGACTATTAGTCCACCTTATTGAAGATCTTTATAATCTTTATTCCACACTTTTTCTCCTTTTTTATCCTATGATTGTACGGAATAAATTATTCTTCTAAATTAAAGTTACTTGTCATTTTCGACATTTATTTTTTACTATACTTTCATCATTTTTGTTGAATGCAGCAGTAGAGAATATTTTGTTGCTTCAATATAATATAAAGTTATATTAGTAGCTACAAGATCATAAATATAAAGGTAAATTTTTTTTATTTTTTATTTTAAAAATTTATTTGTTATTGCATGTTGATGATCATGATGTACATGTTGTTGATTTTTTTTTAATTTTTTTTTTGTATAATTTTGATTAATATTAGGGGAAAATGGCTACTACTACAAAGAAGAAAACAGAGAAAACAATTCCTGGATTAGTGGATTTGGTGTTTTCTTGGTCTTTAAAGGATGTGTTGAACAAAGATCTTTACAAAGACAAGGTTTGAATTCATCTTTCTTTTTTTGTTGTTTATGTTGCTCGGACTTTTCGAAAATTTTGATGAGCTTTTGTTTGATTTTTTAAATAGTACAATGTGTTTTTAGAGGACCTGACATAGGTACGATAACATTTTTGAAGAATCTGAGCCTAACAATAGTATGTTATATATGAACACATTTTATTTTGTTTGAGTCAAAATCAATGTGTTTAGTTGGTTGAAAGATAAGTTTCTCCGGCTCATTAAAAATGTTGTTAGCTGGATATCGGATCCTCTAAAAATAGTGTGTGTCTGGATGATCCGACATGGGTCAAAAAACATTTTTGGAGAGTCTGAGCAACGTTACAAGTTGTTATTAGCAATTCATGTCAAATGTAGTATCATGAATTGTACTATAATTTTAGTTTTTGAACTTTTGTGTCAAATTTATTGTAATTTGTTCTGTTTCGATATGTTAGGTGAAAGAAATTCCAGAGACGTTTGTGTCGATTGATCATTATTTGAAGTCATACGTTACTCCACTTCTTGAAGAAACACATGCTGATTTGCTCTCTAATGTGTCTGCTGTTTCGCGGGCACCTGCTCTTGAGGTTGTTGATGTGAAAGTATCGAAAGATTTTAACCCTCCGAAAGGTTTATATTACAATATTTTGTTGAGAAGAAATCAAAATAGAGAGGTGGGAGAGAGTAATGAATCAAAGCATGAATCGAAATATGAACCAGAAGTTGGTGATTTGATTGCACTAACAGATGTGAGACCACGAAGAATGGAGGATTTAAACAGGCCTAAGAGATCATACCTCATTGCTATAGTTCAAGGTATGAATGATGATGGTTATAGAATACCTATCTTGTCTTCACAGCTTATTCCGTTTAAGAAACCGGATAGGGAAACAGGTGAACAAGGGGACAAGCTTTTTGTTGTCTATCTTTCTAATTTGACAACAAACATTCGAATATGGAATGCATTGCACTCAGACCGGGAAAATTCAAACTTTAATATCATTAAGACCGTGATGAGAAGTGATGATTCGGATATTGTAAGTACTTTTTTTCAACTTTACTGTTATAGTGATCATACGTTGAAATTGTATCATTAGTCTAGCATCTAATAAACATTTCGTTTGTAGGGTGATCAAGTAGACTGCTCCCTTTGTTCCGTTAGAGAAGCAGAAACTAATATAGCTATATCGAGTTCAAGAGCCATCGCTCAGTCCTTTGAGCTAGATAGTGCTCAACAAGAAGCTGTTGTAAGTTGTGTTGCTACAAGAGAATGTTCTCACCGGAATATGGTTAAGTTAATTTGGGGTCCTCCGGGAACTGGAAAGACAAAAACAGTTGCTTCTTTACTTTATGTCCTGTTAGAAATGAGGTGCAGGACTTTGACTTGTGCGCCCACGAATGTTGCTGTGTTGGGAGTGACTAAGAAGCTGATGCAGAATGTACAGAGTTGTTTCCAATACGACACGTATGGTTTAGGAGATATTGTCTTGTTTGGTAATGGGGAACGAATGAAGATTGATGATCATGAAGATCTGTTTGATGTCTTTCTTAGTAACCGTGTTGCTGCACTTGCTAGCTGCTCGTCTCCGATTAGTGGGTGGAGAATTGGTATACAGTCCATGACATGTTTGCTCGAGAATCCTGAAAAGGAATATCGCAAGTACTTAGAGAAACTAAAGGACAAGGACCGTGACGGTGATGATAATGCGGAGATAGATGATGAGGAAGAGGGAAAAAAAGGAAGTGTTACTAGTCAAGAATCTAGTTCGAGCAATGATCAAGGACTCAACAAGAACAAGAAGAGTGAGTTGTGGAAGAAATTTGTTGTTGAGACCTTAAAAGAGAACAAGAAGAAAGATAAACAAAAGTCTCGAAGGGATAACAACTCGAAAGAAGGTGAAAAAGCAAACAAGGTCAAGAACAATGGGGAGGCGAGCAACAAAGAAGTAATCGTGTTGACACTTGATGAGTTTGTGAACAAAAGATTCAAATGTATACAGAATCAGTTAACATTTTGCTTAACGAGCTTGTATACGCATCTACCTACTTCTATCATTTCACTAGAAGTAGCTAAGGAGATGATCAGACTACTTGAGATGTTTCAAACTCTTGGAGAATTGTTTGCTACTGTGGAACAATCTGAAGGATTAAAAGAAATTCTACCGGGATTTGCTACAAAGAATAAGACAAGACGTTTAAATATTCGTACAACTAAAACAGAATGCCTAAAAGTGTTGAAATTTCTTAACGAAAGCATCTCTCTTCCCGATTTCATTGAGGACTACCAGATTCGAAGTTTTTGTCTGAAAGGTGCATGTTTGATTTTCTGCACAGCTTCTAGCTCGATAAAGTTGCACACAGAAGGAATGACACCACTCGAGATGGTTGTTATTGATGAAGCTGCTCAGCTGAAAGAATGTGAATCCACTATTCCGTTACTACTCCCTGGTCTCCGCCATGCTATACTCATTGGTGATGAAAAACAACTGCCTGCTATGGTTCAGAGCAAGGTTATTAGTTAATCTCTTTATGACTTTTTTTTTTAAAATTTACTGTGCTGCTCTTTTGTCATTGACAGCTAGTATCTGTTATATACAGATTTGCGAGAAGGCTGAGTTTGGGAGGAGCTTATTTGAGAGGCTGGTAACTTTGGGACACAAGAAGCTTCTTCTTAATGTTCAATACAGGATGCATCCGAAGATAAGTTTGCTCCCTAATAGAGAGTTCTATCAGAAGAAAATCATGGATGGTCCTAATGTGAAATCAGCTGCATATGAAAAGAGATTTCTTACTGGAGATATTTTTGGTTCCTATTCGTTTATAAATGTAAGTGGTGGAAATGAGGAGCACGATGACAAGCACAGCTCAAGAAATAAGACAGAAGCTTTTGTTGTAGCTGAGATAGTTGCCAACCTTCATAAAGGTAATGCACTTATCTTTCAAGGATTTAATTTCTGCGTAAGATGAATGAAACGTGTTGGCATACCTAATAAATATTATCTTACCTACAGAATATATCTCTTCGAAACAAAAGGTCCGTGTTGGATGTATATCTCCTTACAAGGCTCAAGTTTTTGCTATTCAACAAATTCTTGGCAACAAATATAGCACAGATGTTAAGAGTGACTTCTCTGTGAATGTACGTTCTGTTGATGGTTTTCAAGGTGGTGAAGAGGATGTGATAATTATATCCACTGTTCGTTGTAATGGGAGTGGATCGGTTGGTTTCCTCTCGAATCTTCAAAGGGCAAATGTAGCATTGACTCGAGCAAGGTTCTAATTTGGTGAACAACATTACACATAACAGATGGTTTTTGATATTCTTAACTGTCAACTTTGATTCTTATGTAGGTATTGCCTTTGGATATTGGGAAATGGTACAACTTTGGTTAACAGTGGTTCCATATGGAAGAATTTGGTTGTTGACGCCAAGGTTCGCGGTTGTTACTTTGATGTTACTGAAGACAAGCGATTGAGTCAAGCAATTTTGGACGCGACCATTGAACTTAGCCAGCTAGAAACATTACTCAAAACAGATTCACTGATATTTCAATCAGCCAAATGGAAGGTATGTTGCTTCATTTAGCCTATAATATGAATATTTGAGTTCTATTCGCGAACGGAGAAATTACGAGTTTTTTGCTGTTTTAACTCAACAGGTTATATTTAGTGAGGATTTCTCAAAATCCATTGCCAGAATTAAGGATGTTGAGATAAGTAAAGAAGTGATTTCCCTTTTGGTGAAGCTTTCGAGTGGTTGGCGTAAGGCAGAAAAGAAAAACATGTTCAGCAACAAAGGCGGAAATTCTTCTGGATTGTTGGAGGAGTATTTTGTCAAGCACCTAAAATTGATTTGGACCGTAGATATTCAGCAGCAGAACTCTACATACCTTCAAGTACTAAAGATATGGGACATTTTACCAGGATGTCATATACCAAAGTTTGCTAAGAATCTTGACACCCATTTTGGTCAATATACCGTTGATATGATGAATCGATGCAGATACAAACGCGTGGAACGGTACAAAATGTCTTGTATTGTTTCTCTGGTCTACATTTCTGTCAATTCTTACAAGTACATTTTAGGATAATCGAATTAGTACTCCACGAACATGTTTTACTCACAAGTCTTCATTTTTCTGCAGAAACTTTGTATTTCCTATGTCTTGGGTAATTGAAGGAAATGTTGTCTCAACAACAACCTCAGCTCACAGTAACCGGGATGACAACTTGGCACGCCATTTGGCAGCTATGAATTTGAGGGATAAACCAGGATCTTCGAGAAGTTCCAAGTGAGTAGTACTACACGAAAAAAATGAAACAGAACTCAGATGTATGTTTTTTTGGTGTTAGATTAGTCTAGTACTAACTTTACTCAACTGTTATACCAGTAAGTCCAAGAATAAGAGAGGAAAACTATTCCGCGAATCAAAACAGAACCAACTTGCTGAAGATTTCATGGAAAAGTATATGCGCAACAAGTCCAAATAGAAGTGTAAACATCGCGTAATACAGGTAAAACATGAAACAGAAAAGAGTAACACTAAATACATTGTCATATCTACTACGTACTTCCTATGTTTCAATTTAACTGTCTTAGCTTGACTATCTGCGAACTTTCTTAACATTAAATTCTGTTTTTTTCTTGGCAGTTTTTTTGGTGCAATTCACTGCCTTCATCATGTTAATACTGCAACTGATCTGGTGATGTGATCCTATAGTTTTTGAATCCTACGCGTTTGCTGAGATGGTGTCCATGAGTACTGTAATTATTAGTTACGATATTGTTGAAGTGAAATGGCTTGTTAAATGGACATGCTGATCTTTAAAATGTAGAAAAGACCTTATATATAATACAACTACAAGGTCTTAGTATTTGATTGTGCCTACATTGTGAAAATTCCATTCTGTTTTATATTCATACACCATACCATGGTTCCTAGTATTGTAACGGACTTATTCCATCAATGAATTGATGTTATATACTTGGACAATATAACTACTTTTTTGCGTAATTTAACATGTTATAATAACTGTTATTAAGACTATTTGACTCTCTGAGACGCCTATATATATTTCTACAGTGATAGATTAACAGTCAAATTTTATCAGCATTAACTAAGCAAAGCTAAATGGTATATTTCTAAACTCGCTAGTGAATCCATATGCAAAAGTGACAGAGAAAGTGCTAGACAAAGTAAAAATGGACGGACGAAATATTTTTGTAAAATAACATGACGAATCTATGTTTGAATTTACAGTCAAAATTAAAAGATTTGAATGTTAAAATCCGAACAGTGTTACATAATTAATTGAGATATATGGAAGAGTAACATTTAATTAATGTTGTCAATATAGGTAATCCCATCCATGCATGGAAATTGTGTAAAACTCTATAATTCCCAAGGAAGAAAATGAGGAGACTTTTGAAAGAAAGAAAAAAGGAACTCTTAATGTATTTTCCTGTTTTAATTTCCGATTTACTTAGCTAGTAGAAACTCCTAATCTCATAAGAAGAAGAAATAAAAGGTAATTAAACTCCCTTCTTTAATTTTGTTTTTGCTTGTGTAAGGTTAAGATGTTTAATTAATTAATTTATTTTAATGACAATTAGGTGGAAGATCATGTCAACAACAACAAAAGAGAAGAAGAAACCAATTCATGGCTTAGTGAATTTGGTGTTTTCTTGGTCTTTAAGAGATGTACTCAACAAAAATCTTTACAAAGACAAGGTTTGAATTTTTACTTTTCTAGTAAACCAAAACAATTATTGTTGACAAAATGAACGTGCTCAAAGTTCAAAATATGAAGAAGTAAACACAAGAAAATATCCAGTTATTATAACATCTACTATATATATAGTGTAATTTTTTGTCGTAAGGTTCCTCCCCTGGTCATCAAGAGAAGTTAGCTTTTCGTTGTGGTCCAAATCTTGTATTTGTATAAACAACTAATTGAATATGTAATAGTCTCTTGAATCCATAAACTTCAAATTGTCACTATGTATTATTAAGTAAAATACTATGTATGTTGTAGGTGAAAGAAATACCAGAGACATTCGTGTCGATTGATCAGTACTTGAAGTCATACATTACTCCACTAGTTGAAGAAACACATGCTGATTTGCTCTCATGTATCTCCACAGTATCGCTTGCCCCTTCCGTTGAGGTTCTTGATGTTGTAACATCAAGAAAGTTTGAGGCTCCCAAACATCTATATTACGAAATTTTGATTAAGAGAGCTAAAGAGGGAGAGAAAAGTAAAACAGAATACAAACCAGAGAATGGAGATTTGATTGCATTATCAGATGTGAGACCACGAAGAATCGATGATCTGAACAGACCTGAGAGATATTTTCTCATTGCCATAGTTCAAAACATGGATGATGAAGACGATGAAGACGATGAAGACGATGGAGTCTGGATACCTATACTGTCTTCAAATCTTATTCCATTTCAGCGACAAGACAATGAAAAGGGTGAACAAGGGGACAAGCTTTTTGTGGTTTATCTGTCTAATTTGACAACAAATATTCGAATATGGAATGCTTTGCATTTAGATCCTGATAACGCAAATCGAAAGATCATTGGGACTGTGTTGCAAAGTGATGTAGCTAATGTAAGTTATCGGTTATGTGTTTATGTCACAAGTCATTTCCGGGGGAAATATATTCCATGAGAAATGACTTCCGTCGTACTAAACACACTCATCACATTTTTTTCCTTCTTAATCTTGTTATTCTTTTATTCATGTTGATTTTGATCAATGTCAGGGTGAAGTAGACTGCACAGATTGCTCTGACAGAGAAACTAAAACTGATGTTTCTATCATTCAGTCCTTTGGTCTAGATGATGCTCAACGAGAGGCTATTCTAAGTTGTATCGCAACAAGGGAATGTGATCATCGGAATATGGTTAAGCTAATTTGGGGTCCTCCAGGAACCGGGAAGACTAAAACAGTTGCCTCCTTACTATATGTTCTGTTCAAGATGAAATGCAGAACTTTGACATGTGCTCCTACGAACATTGCTGTTTTGGGAGTTGCAAAGAGGTTGATGCAGCATGTACAAGACGGTCTTGAATATGACACGTATGGTTTAGGAGACGTTGTTTTATTTGGAAATGGTGAAAGAATGAAGATCGGTGATCATGAAGATCTGTTTGATGTGTTTCTTGAGTACCGCGTTGATGTTCTTGCCAGCTGCCTGTCATCAAAAGATGGATGGAAAAGTAGTGTACAATCCATGATATGTTTGCTCGAGGATCCTAAAGAGCACTACCGTAAGTACTTAGAAAAAGATGAAAATAAGGAACATGACACAAGTGATGATGAAGAGGAAGTAGAAGGTAACATTACCAATGAACAATCTAGCTTGAGCAACAAAGATGGGAAGATCAATGCTCATGGATTAGTAGATAAGCATACGAAGAATAGGTTGTGGAGTAAATTTGTTCTTGAACCCTTAAAAAAGAACAAGAAGAAGGCTTCAAAAGATAAAAAAAGTTCTCAACGGAGGAACAACTCGAGAGCAGAAGGGGATTCAAGTAACAAAGAAGCCAATGCTTTGACATTTGAGAAGTTTGTTATCAAAGAATCAAAATGGTTCATTAACCATTTATTGTTTTGTCTGCCAAGTTTGTATACACATGTACCTACTTCTGACATGCCACTAGAAACGGCTAATGTAATGTTCAGGCTTCTTAAGAATCTGCAAACTCTTAGAACATTGTTTGCTACTACAGAAACATTTGAAAGATATAAGGAAGTGCTTCTTGGTATCGATACAACAAATAAGGCGAGGCGTTTTGCTAACTTGTATGAAAGTAAAACAGAATGCCTTGAAATGTTGAAATTCCTTAACGAGCATCTCTCTCTTCCAACTTTCAGTAAGAAATTTAAGCCCCCTCTTCAGAGTTTTTGTCTGAAAGGTGCATGCTTGATTTTCTGCACGGCGTCTAGCTCATCAAAACTACTGAACATGCAAGGAATGTCACCACTGGAGATGGTGGTAATTGATGAAGCTGCTCAACTGAAAGAATCTGAATCCACTATTCCGTTACAACTCCCTGGTCTACGTCATGCTATACTCATCGGAGATGAAAAACAATTGCCTGCTATGGTTCAGAGCAAGGTTTTCAAATAGTCTTAATATTGAATGTTCTTTCATTACATTACTGCTCTTTCATAATTTACCATTAGTGTCTGTTGTTGACAGATTTGCCAGAAGGCTGAATTCGGGAGGAGCTTATTCGAGAGGCTGGTAATATTAGGACACAAGAAGCAACTTCTTAATGTTCAATATAGGATGCATCCAAAAATAAGTCTGTTCCCAAACAATGAGTTCTATCATAAGAAAATTATGGATGGTCCTAATGTGAAAGGTGAAAAATATGAGAAGAGATTTCTTACTGGAGATATTTTTGGCTCGTATTCCTTTATCAACGTAAGTAATGGAAATGAAGAGCAAGATGAAAGATACAGCACGAGAAATAAACCAGAAGCTTTTGTTGTAGCTGAGATAGTTTTCAACCTTCATAAAGGTACGTAACACACGACTTATCTTTCAAGGATTATGTTTTTTGTTCTTTGTAGTTGGCATACGTGATAGATATCCTCTTACATACAGAATTCATCTCATCGAAACAAAAAGTTCATGTTGGTTGTATATCTCCTTACAAGGCTCAAGTTTTTGCTATTCAACAAATTCTTGGAAAGAAATATAGTACAGATGTAAAGAGTGACTTCTCTGTGAATGTACGTTCTGTTGATGGTTTTCAAGGCGGTGAAGAGGATGTTATAATTATCTCTACTGTTCGTTGGAATGGCAATGGATCGGTTGGTTTTCTTTCTAATCTTCAGAGAGCAAACGTAGCATTGACACGAGCAAGGTACTGTCTTTGGATATTGGGAAATGGAACAACTTTGGTTAATAGTGGTTCCATATGGAAGAATTTGGTCATTGACGCCAAGACTCGTGGTTGTTACTTTGATGTTACTGATGATAAACGATTGAATCAAGGAACTTTGAACGCGACTAATGAATCGTTGAATGATATGAGACCAAATCAGAACATTAAATGGAAGGTATGATGAATATTTCACTTCTCTTTCACTCTTCCACGTGACATGTTTAAGACCAAAATAGAACACATTCTACATAACGTAGATATAACACGTTCTTTGCTGTTTTAACTCAACAGGTTATATTTAGTGAGAATTTCACTAAATCCATTGCCAGAATCAAGGATGCTGAGATAAGTAAAGAAGTGAATACTCTTGTAGAGAAGCTTTCGAGTGGTTGGCGTAACTCAGAAAAGAACAACAGGTTCAACAACAAGAGAGGAAATTCTTCTGTACTGTTGGAGGTCTACAATGTAAAGCACCTAAAGTTGATTTGGACAATCGATATTGTGAAAGACAACTCGAGATATCTTCAAGTGCTAAAGATATGGGACATTTTACCAGGATATTATATACCAAAGTTGGCAAAGGATCTTGACATCCATTTTGGTCAATATACAGTTGATATGATGAATCGTTGCAAATACAAACGTGTGGAACGGTACATACATGTCTTTTGATCTCATTTTGTCCCTCGATTTAGCTTTTATACACTGACAGAGTAAAAGAATCTCCGATTACCTAATAATAATATAGTACTCCATGAACATGTCGAGTCGTCTCAACGTGTTATTAAGTCGTTGACTTTACAGCTAACTTACACCAGAGTTCATTTTTCTGCAGAAACATTGCATTTCCAATGACTTGGCTAATTGATGGAAGTGTTATCTCAACAAGAAGCTCAGCTAATAGAGATCGAAATGACAACTTGCTACGTCAATTGGAAGCAATGAGTTTGAGGGATGAACCAGGATCTTCAAGACAGTAAACAGTGATACTAAATATAATGTCACATCTACTACTACTTCTTAACGTTTTTAGTTTAACTGTCTTAGTTTGACTAGCTACAACATTTCTTAACGTTGAATTTTGTATCAC